TCAAAAATTTGCCACTCTCTTCTCTGGCAGTTCCCTGGATTCAAAGTGTCCCACCTGGCACAGGTGGGCAGCAGGCTGGAGAGGAAAGCAGCACTGGTTTTATTGTCATTCCAGTGCTTGGGGCTGTTGATGTTAGGTGCTCTAAATGTAGGTTTTTGAGAGGTGAGGGAGAAGCATCAAGTGAACTGGAGGGGTAGTACCTTGACCTCTTGGAAAACAGAGCAAGCTGAGGAGAAGGAATAAGATTAAAAGAAAGAAAACCCTCTTCCATCTGGGTGATGTCAGCTTGTCATTGCCAGTTTGGTGGTTCTGTAGCTGCAAGCCTACTTCTGCCTGCTGTGGAAGGAGCAGATCATTAATTAAAAGGCACAGCAGAGTGCAGCATACTTAGGGCTTTGAGGTGCTGACAGGCTGACATCACCCAGAGTAACTGCAGAGAGCATGTCCAACACGAGGTATGGTTCTAAGAACTAAAAAACCTGTCATCCAGTGTGTCACCCTTGAAGACAACGTGTGGCATACAACCTAAAACTTCATTGCCTTCTGCCTCCCCAGCAGCTTCATGCATATGTCTACCTTCTCCTTAGTGTGACCATGAAGTGAGAATCCCTGTGTAACACAGGGATTGGAAGAGCTTTGGGGTTCCCTAGGCCAGCTGGATGTGCAGCAGTCCTGACCTGAGGAGCACTGGAGCACCTGTAATGGTGCTGAGCAGAGGAGAGGAGTGGGTATGGGGCTAAGATGTATGGATCCCTGGCAGGACTGAGTTTTGACATGTGGAGACAATATTGTGGGTCAGAGAGTGTGGGACTGAGTCAGGTAAGAGAATGTGAGAACACACTCACTATATGGCTGCTAAAGAGGGAGCAAGAAAGGATTTTACTGTTTGTGGCTTGAGGGATGGAGCAACGAGTGATGGATCAGGTGGAAAAGAATCTGGTCAGGCTGTGGTGTAATTTGTACAATACACCCTCAGCTTGCAATTTATCGCAGACCTTTTTGGAAATGTTCTGGCATTCTTCAACAGTGCTTACAAGTATCTGATAGTCACTGGGCTGGGCAAGTGGCTCACTGTTCAGAGCGCTGACAATCTGCCCCCTCTCCTTTGTCATACACACCTGCAGATTTAATACTTTTATTTTGAAGTATACAGCACTTTCCTGTCCTGTGAAACAATGTGTCTCTTCTGCCATTCTCATGGAGATGAAATGCAATGATATCACTTCCTAGTGAGGGACTGGTGAATCATTTTGATGGTGTTCATGAATCAGTCTTTTGCTACCAGTTTCTGCATTGGTCTTAATATAATATTCAAAACCGAAAATCATAATTTCAGGGACTTTTAACTTTTTGTTAAAGAGACAATACTATCATTATCTCCTTGCATACCATACTGAGCATGCTGCAGAAGTGCTCTCCCAAAGATATTTGTGTAGCTAAAGGTACTGACACCTATCCAATCGATCCCTCTGCAGTGGTGGGGAGCTTGCTTGCAAAAGGGTGGGGAGAGGGAGGGCACATGTTTGTCTCATGGGCTCTGGTGGGTGGTCTGACAGCTTAAAGTTTAAAGCTCTCCTGTGAATCTGATAACCTCTTGCACAGGAGCAGAAGCACCCTGAACTGTCATGGCTGGTGAGCAAAGGCTAGTTGAGAGCCTCTGATATTGTATTACCTGCCTAGGAAGTGTGACTGGTTGTTCATCAGCTTTGCACCTCCAGTGCTGTAAAGAAGGCAGAAAGGCAGAATTTCCTTGTTGAACAGGAGAAGAGTTGTGGTTGTACTGAGGCAATGGCAAAGGTCTTTGACATGTATCTTGTTATGCATTGGCACAGGGCTTTTCCCTGGGGAAAAAGGAGTTGCTCATGGTGTGAATATGATCCTGTGAAGGTAAAGACACTCGTGGTTTATTCTTGGCAAGGCCTGTAGGTGCTTGAAAGTCGTCTTTATGACAGCACTAATCTTCTGGCAACTGCAGGGTCGGGGAGTTGCAGGAGAAGCACAGAAGTGCCTTAGCACATTACCTTGTTTGATGGGCCAAGTGTCCCTCCTCACAAAGATCCAGCCTGTTCCTCCGAGGAAGCACAGAGTGCTCTCCAGCAAGCCCACTGCTGCCCTCAGAGGGTATTTCCATGTTGCTTTGTCCTGACCATTGCACGGTGCCCTTTTTCTGTGATACATTGCACCCGGCCAGCTGGTATTCGTAACATGTTCCACAGAGTTCAAAAATGAAACTTCTTTGGGGGAGGTCAGTGTGCTGTGCAGGACACATCCTGTGTGTGGGCTGCCTCTGACAGATTGCTGTCACTGTCACCCAACAGGCCTGTCAAAAACAACAGCACCTGCCCGTGGACTGCACTAACGCAGTGATACCAGCCAAAATGGGAAGTGTTAGCAGCATTGTTTGCCCCTGTGTGTTCCTGTTTGTAGTCCCTCTGCACTAGGAAAAGCGCAGTGTAAATGTCTGGGTGGATGGTTACTTGTGTTAGGATAATGATACCAGGCACCATTCAATTCTGAGCAGTCGATGTGCAATTATTGCAACAGAAAAGCAGCACAGAACATTGCTTAAGAGTTTTTCAGTTATCAGTGACTTTCCTACCTTAACAGGAAGGTTAAGGAGGTAACTTGCCTAAAAGTTTTGCCATTCCAGAATCAGTGCCAAGGATCAGATCTTCCTGATCCATGGCTGGGAAACTGTGTTCTCACACTTGGACTATGCCTACACGCTGGAGATTTTTCTGTAACATTTCTCTTTTGTGATGGATGAAATCCCATTTTTATATCATTATATAAGGTTATTTGACTCTTCCTGCCGATGCTGCAGCCATTGGTGCATCTCACCTGTGTCATTAGCACTGCATAGCCAAATGCTGTTTTGTGCCCAACAGGGATTCTCAAAATAGCCATTGCTTCACTCTCTCTCTAAGCTTGTCTGCATTCCAAGCCACTTAATTTTCCATGTGGTCCACTCTCAACCTCCCATTGTAAATTACTGCCCTTGTAACCCACAGTCTAATTTTTCTCGCTCTATTCAGTGGAACTACTGACCACTGGTAGTAGCAGGTCAGGTTGGTGTTATACCTGTGAGAATTTCCTGGTTACCTGATTTGTACTTATTTTGTAAGGCTTTTTGATTCCCTGCTGCCCTGATTTCAAATATGTAACCTTGAAATTGGTCATTTGAACGTGACTTTTATTTTCATTTGGAGTCCCCAGAGGACTGTAATTACAGCACTGCCTTGTGACTGTGCTGAATGAGAGCCCAGCTGAAATTCCGAGACCAAAGGATACGATAGCTTCTAGTAACCGTCATACCTTTCTTATGCTTTTTTTTTCCTAAATAATACCTTTTTGCATTGTTTAGGGTTAGTCATTCTGAAAAAAAAGTTATTTCTTAGTTACCTATTAAAATTTAAGAAAATAGTGTGTCCTCTTCCCCCTTATGTGTGCACACCTTCTCCTTCCATATGATTTGCTGTTGTAAGTTGATCATCTCTTTCCATTGTTATAGGAAAACATTTCATAAGCACCATTTTATAGACAAAGGAAGGGAAAATCTAGCAACTTGTACTCTGCCTTTAGAAGCTCTGAGTCCAAATATGGGAAAATTAGCAAATATGAAGTGCAGGCCAACAGTAAGAAGGAAATGGAGTTACAGATTCTAAAGGCAGGATGAGTTTGTTCAAAGAGGCAAGAGGAAGGACCGAGGATCCTTGGCAAAGAGAGACCCAATGGTATGGGTCAGCTTCATTCCCATTGAATCTGAGTGTTATCCCAAATTTACGGAGATATGACATCCAAAGCCTTCCCAGAGAGAGAGATCTTAGATCAGAGGGTAGCGTGGGATAAGGCTTAGAGCACAGGGAAGAAAAGGAGACATGAGAGGACAAAAGGAGTAAGAAAAGTTGAGTGAGTGAGTGAGTGAGTGAGTAGGGAGGAAGAAAAGCAGAGGGGTTGGGAGCAGCCTGGGATAGTACTGTGTAAATGCAAACTGGGGTCTTGAGCAAAGTCAAAGGGAGTTTTCCCCAAAAATAACAGTATTTACAAGCCCAGCATGAGAACTTGAATTTGACCTGAAGGCAGAGAGAATGGCAGCATTTCTGCTGTGTGTTAGGTCTGCATTTGGAATTTCAAGCTTTGTTTTTCCTCTGGAGTCCTCAGTCTTGCACAGTCCCATTTTCAGTGAGAGTGAGTTCCTTGGCAGCAACACCAGTCATGTTCATCTTTAGTAAAGCCATCTCCATGAAAATAGCTGGTGGAACTAACAGTGGCTTTTTAGGAAGGAACACTGAGTGTGCCACAGTCACAACCTGGGAGCATTTTTTCCAGCCAAGCACAGGGACCATGTGTGCAGAGCTGTCTTTGATGATATCTGGGGCAGCAGCAGGGCAGACAGGCTTGCATGCTGGTGCTTGCATGTCTGCTGGAGAAGGTGGAGGTGTACCTGTCCCACATGGGGAAACAGTGGTACACAATGAAAGCTCTAATTAGAAGATGAAATGTCATGCTATAAAAAAGGTAATTTACTGACAGAAGAAAAATAGCAATTATGTCAACAATTAACTTACCTTTCATCTTTCTAGAGACTTTAACAGCAAGAGATTTAGAACTAATCTAGAAGAAGCTGGAGCATTCATTCGAGGCTGCATAAGGCTTCCTGATCAATTTATGATACTCTTCTGGGGGAAGAGTCTCTTACTAAAATTAGCTTAACCCTCACTTTATTGTTGTTACTGTTCAAATTAATTGCTGACTTTGTCAGAGATCACAAACCCTCCACGAAACTGATAATATTTTCTTAGGTGTCTTCATTTCTTGTGAGGTGAAGATGTATAAAAAAAGAAAGGAATTTAGGTGGCTGTTTGTTGAAGTGAGGAATCAAAACTGTATTTTCAGCACATCTTAGTGATGTACATGAATCCATAGAACATATCTGAAATTTTATATGTATTTTAAGGTTTGCTCTTATTCTACTTGTGTTTTTTCCTCTCTTTTTCCAGTCATAATTTCAAAAATGTCAAAGGAGCCACAACTGAGCATTTCTTCTGTTCCCACCTGTGCTTTGGGTTGTGAAAGAATAACATTAGTACATAGAGACCTTGACTTCCTCTTGGATGCATCTGGAAGATTTTATTAGGCAGTCCACTGTGCCTGTGATCTGTCTGAGAGCAGCTGATGATGAGCATCACCAAGATATTGCACTGGGCTGCTGATAATTTTCTGTCTTTCCAACGACTTGAAAAACTGGATTCATGGAACATCACTCTCACAAACCACAGCCTCACCATGGGGACATCAGGGCAACCACAGCTGTACTAAGTATCTTCACCAGCAATCTGTCACCCTCTGACAAATCTTTTCTTCTTGAAGGTGACTGTGGGTGGTCTTCCCTTGTCCAATTTCTGTAAATTCGGTGCATCGCTTTCTAGTCATGCAGCTGATACTTGTGTTTATATGAATGGCTGTTAAAAAAAAAGGAAAGATCAGATGTTTGTTGTTTCATTTCAACATAAATCAAACTTTGTACTCACATAGCAATTCTACTTTAGCCCCAGGAATAGCTTTAGTATTGCTAAGTGTCTGGAGAGTATTGACTACAGAGACATGATTTTAAGCAGGCTATAATAGTTTCTACAGCTGTTAACAGTTCTCAGAAGAAAGGCAGTATTATTCACTAGTGTTTAAAATGTGCATGACTTGCATTGCACAGAAGTCAGATTGGGAGAATGTCAGAATTTTTTTCTGAAATTCTGCCAGGAAAGTCTTCAATAACTGGAGAAATTCTTTTCACTGGTGAAATCAACATGCAGCACATTGTGTTATTATACTTGCTTATAGCTCACCATGAAAGTTGTCTTTGTATGCGTGGATGTACGGCTTGTACTGTTTTGTTTTTATTTATTCTGCATTCTTTATTATAATGTTCTTTCCTTTTTTTCCAGACCAGAAAGATTGTTATTGAGCCTTCCACAAAGCTGAAATAATGCTGTGTGTTAAAAAAATGTTAACAATTTGAAGAAGTTATAAAAATTTATAAGTTGGCTGAATAGTTTGGAAATTTCTGCATATTTTAATATAAATAGGTAATGCAAATGTTTGTTCTTTGCATTTAGAGGTGGGTCTCTGTTTTCTAAAGGTCTTGTATATAAATTTGATTCTTAAAATTACATTAGAACAAAACCAGTATTTTTTTCAGATTGTATAATAGGAAAAATGTATTCCAAAAGACATAGAACATACATGGTTATCTCTGAATGTCATATAGTCATGAAATTCAGTATAAATAGCATCAGTTGTTTGAATGTCTTCATTAAGTGCATTTAGGGGACTGCCTGTTGCAGTCAGCTGAGGTCCTTCCATTCAGTTCCACGGGTGCTGGGTTGGCCCACAAAGAAAAGACCAGTTAACTGAGAGATAAAAGGGGGTGATTTCTCTATAGATAGTGTGAAGTTCCAGATGGTGCTGGTATAGGTTACATAGAAATGCAGTCACATAAAATCAAAGAAATCACAGAAAATGAAGTTATTTCAGGTGAATTTGGTATTAGTGATGAGTTTGAGCTTTATTCATATCTAAAAACATAGAACAGGACAAGTGAGTCCAAAAGAAAGAAAGGAAGAGTAGAAATGGGTGACAGAGAAGAGGTGAGTGACAGGATACTGGCAGGTGGGCAAGGACCTAAATGGTGACAGACAGTTTTAACAACTAGTCCAAAAAGATCAAATGTTCAAAGGTTATGATCCACCGGAGGTGCTGATTGGGTAAATAACTGAAAAGACAGGCATTAAGCTGCTTTTTGGAGGGGGTGGGGAGGGAGAGCAATGCGAGTTTTGGGTGATTGTACCACAGAGTAGAGAGGGTTTGTTAAGTTTCCCTGGAGGAGAATGAATGTCTGATACTCCCAGACAATTTCTTCACAAGCAGCTGTAGCAGCCACGAGGAATGACCTGGAGAGCTGGTGATGTCCCCTGGCCTGCACGCTGTGTGCAGCTGGGGTGCTTTGCCTGTGCTGCTGGGGTACCTCTTCCAGCTTAGTCCCATCTGAAGGGAATCCAGGCTGTGCTCAGGGACTGCACAAGGAGTGGGGCATTTGAGGGGCTGGCTCCAGAAGCTCACTGCTGCTCCAAACCTGGACACTGATGGAGGTGTGCCCTGTAGAACTGTGGGGTGGCAGTGGTGGCAGAGGGAATACTCAGAATGTACTGTTCTATGTTACAGGTGCTAGCAGCATGTGAAGCCGAGAGCAGTGAAAACCCAAAGGAGTACTGCACACACTGAAGAGGTCACCAGGAGCTGTTGTGCAGGGTAAGCCCTTCAGGAAAGAGAAAGGGAGAATGATTGATGCAAGCCTCTGTAGGAAAAGTTGGTGCCTATCTGAAGTTTACTGTGATTTAGTATTTCAGGATGGATTCCCTCCTGACATACTGCCTGTGAAATTTTGATAGGCCTAGAAGCACTTTGTAACACTAGCTTCATTTAGAAGTGTGCAAAACTAATGCACAAGAATGCCAGGCTTTTGATGTGCAGTTTTTATAGATCTTTTTTCTTAAGACATCCTGGAATATGCTTTGCCGAGTTGAAAGGCTTCCCTGGTCATTGACACCAGTGCTATAAAAGACTGCTCTCCAAATGGAATCACTATGGTAAATGAACCCTTTAAAACCTACACTCACAAAACTGCATTCAGTTCAGGAAAGGGTGTTGATTCTTCAGTCTTCTGTGAGTCACTTCCACTGTAGCATTCTCTGGAATCATTCAATTTTGAGTGTTAAAAATGGCTGGTTGGTAGTGTGGAGTTATCATAGATAGAGGTATTTCCATGTTCCCTGTCAGTGCCACTTCATACCATATTTATTCTCACACAGCCTGTTATATAAAAGTACCATTTTACAGAGCGGAGGCACAGAGAGAACAAATGATGTAGATAAGTCTGTGTAAGGAAATATGTTGCAGAGCTGGTAACAGGTTTCCTCAGCTTGCAATGTTTAGCTGCTGGACTAGCTCTCTTGTTCTGTGGTGTGTATACAGGTATATTCCTTTCCTGCTGCAGCTCTTGGTCGTTCCATCCAGCATGGATAAAAAGGCTGCACAGCGCTCAGGTGAGTCTGAAAGCTGATAGGATTCTTAACTTTAGTGGCAGCATTATGTCAAATAACATGATGGTCAGCTGGACAAGTGTGTATTAGTGCCTGAATGTAGCATATTTCTGTATGCCAGTACTTTGGAAACAAGGAAAGCAAAAAATGAACGGGGAGGTTATTGTCAGGAGCTGTTCTCCTTCCTACAAGCAATGGGCACAACAGTTTGCCTTTTGAAGTTTGCTAAAATGATTCTCTGATAAGACTTCTGGCTTATGAAATGCGCCAGCACAACACAAACATCTTTACTAGATCTTGTCAGTAGTTGTGAAGATACATTTTAACAATTTTAGGATTTCCCGGGCCTCTTTCGAAATGGCTGTGTTGCCTCACTAAATGCACTCATTATTGTATGTCCTTGTCTAAGAACATTTGGCCTTATATGCTTCTGAGCAATATTTCCTTGGAACCTCTCAGATAATAAAAGGCAAACCAGAGAAGTCTGAACGAGTCTTTACTTAGAAACTGGCCATGTTCAAGCTGTAAAGTATGTAGATTTTGGGTTTTTTTCCCGGGGAAAGGCCTCAAAGGGCAATAGGTGCAGGATGTGGAGGGAAGAAGCAGTGCTCTGACCTAAAGCATTTCTGCATGTTGAGTCAGGGAGTGACATTTAAACAATTTTCACTGTACCCAATATGACAAAACTGTGATGCAGATCAAATTGCTGGCTGTGCTCAGAGAGAGATGAGGAGGAAAAAGGTCAAGGCACCTACCTATAGGTAGCCTCTCCTGTGTTTCCAACATTGGAAGAGCTTACCAGCAAGCCAAATGGGTCTTTAATGCCTCTTTTTTCCCCTTTTTTTGTTTTTCTTTCCTTGAGGTAATGAATGGCTCTGGACTTTCCATCTTTAGAGCTGGTGGTTTCCACACCACAGTGATTCAGCCAGCATGAACTCTTGACCAAATCCCAGTTTGTTTCCTGGTTTTGTTTTTCTAAAATATTTTACATTTAGCAGGGCATAAAGGCCTCCCTACTACGTGACAGTGGAAGAAGGAGAGCCATGCTCCTTTTACTGGTTAGGTCTCAAAGGACAGTTCTCTGTTCTTCTGAAAACATTGCAACTGAAGCAATATAAAAGGAATCACTGGATTTTGACTGAAAGTCCGACTGAATTCTTCCATGCTCCTGGCTTTTGGATGCTGTGTGTTTATGTGGAATTTCCTTTAAGCGTTATTAAGGTCTTATTTTTATTTGAGAAATATGCCCTGCCTGGGCCCATGTTCTAAGTTTTAATCAGTGTGTTACTGCATGGGAAACTCGTAGATTTGTTTACTGGCAAGATAAATAGATTAATATTGCCAGTGATTTCAGGGGATAGTAGGTTGTTAAATTAACATGAAGGGCCTTGTTCCTTTGCTTTGCTGGATGTGTTTTGTTGAGTGCATTCTCTGGGATGCCCTGCTTAGGGAATACGCTGGTGGTTATCCCTGTTACCCTGTAAGTGGTGGGCTCAGTAAGGACTTAGAGTGGCTTGGCTCTGGAGTTGTAACACCAAGAGGGAGATGACAGACAGGAAATCTATAGCCTGGGAAAGCTACGAATGAAAGAAATCATACTCTGCAAATTAAAACCATAAAATGTTTTTTCAAAAGTTTATAGATTTATATAGATGCTTTATCTCCAGTGATATATCATATGAAGGGACAAAATATTGCTGTAAATAGGTTTGAGACCTAAGACAGGGACCTATTTCAGCTTAGCCCTGTGAAAACACAGCATTCCTCCCTTCACACCCTGTGTCGTCATCTTGCTCAGCAGACAGAAATATTGGTAGGTACAGGTTTATTTCAGAGCCCCCTTCATGCAGTGACCCCCATTGTCTGACTTCTTTTTCACACTACTCTGCTGTTATCTCCACCATTTTCTCCCCATACTCTGGAAACTTCTTGCCTGTCTCAGATTCTGCGTGGGTTGCCCAAGGCTGTGGGCTGAGGTATGGGTGTGTGGGGCCTTCCTTTTTTTCAAATACTCGCACTTCTTAAGTGGTATAGAGCATCCAAAATGCAGGGATACATATCTCCATACATAGATGTATGGAGATACTAATAACATTAACAGTGGATAACAAATATTCAGATCACCAGGTGTTCAAAAACAGCAAAGTGTCTGCACCAAGGGTGTCCTTGCAGTGGAAGCTCAACCTTGTTTTGCTTGTGTGCAGTGAGGCAAGGTTTCATGACATGATCACACAGGGGTTTTTTTCACTTTCTCACACAGCCTTTGAGTAGAGCAATTAGGAGGCAGCTGGAGCAGCCACTGCAGTGTGCACTGGGACTTAAGAGTGGCTTTCTGTCCACCTCCACATGGCACTAACACTGTGTCACCTTGGCTGTGCATGAGATTGAGTCTGGTCGTGGTGGACACACTGCACGTGGAGCCTGTGGGGAAGCAGGTCAGCATCCTGCTGCTGTGGCTTTGGAATCACGGATGATAGGGCAATGTCACTGAAGTCAGTGATATAAGATCAAGTTAACATCCAGAATTATCTCCAAAACCTCAGATTTTCACATTTCAGGATGTAAAACACAACCCCCCTTTCTGCACTCAGTTTTCTAACATGACTGGCCCAGTCTGAGTGTCTTGTTCTGGAGCTGGAAGCAATTGCTGGACAGTATATGGAAGATACCATATGGTATTCCATATTCAAATATATGGTATTCTTGCTGAACAGGGCAAGATGAAAAGGAAGGAGGAAGTTTTTCAGCCAAGTAAATAATTCACACAGAAGAATTTTCCCAGAGTATCCAACCTTCTCTTCTGCTTGCATCATGATGATGCAATTGCTGTTCCCTGGTATTTATGTACCTTTCAATATTTCTGTTACTTTTTTAGCTCTGTGGATTGTTGTGAAACAGTGTTCTGTGAGCTATCATGAGTCATGGTGTTGGCTTGGTGGGATTTGGGTGCTCTTACTGTGTTGTTGGTGCTTTCTGTTTGGATGAAAGACCAGACACTTCCAAGATAAATGCTCCTGAACTAATATAAACTCCAGTTTCTCTAAAGACTGTTCTGTGAAGCTCAGACACTGGCTTTCTTTAAATGCAACTACTGGTACAACTCAATTGCACAAATGTTTGCAGATAGTACAAAGAAAAGGGTCACAAACAGAGCTTGAGATAACAGAATGGAAGAAATGGTCTGCAGCACAGATTTTAGCTGTTAAAGGGTGCTGAGCTCTTTCTGTGCTCAGAGATGCTTATGGTGCAGAATCTTCATATGCATCAAAGATTAAACTTAGGCAAGTGCTGGAAGGATCACTGCTCTGTGACCTGTCTCTCAGAGAACTTTTTCAGTCTTGTATCTGTTAGAATGTGGTTCCTGTTCCCCAGGCTGCTGTTATCTGCTCCTGCAGATAAGGATGGTGTGGAATGTTGTAGTGTATGTGATGACTGTTCACTGTGGCTGGTTCCTTCTGCTGAAATCAAAAGATGTTTTATGCCTTTTTTGCTTCCCTCATTGATCTTAGGGCTCTAAGTGTTAACTGACTTTCTCTTTCATGCTTTGCAAAATCAGGGAGTTCACTGAAGGAGAGCATTCCAAGCTGCTTTTGAGAACCCTGATGTTTGTGTCAGGTGACAGAGGATATTACTAAACTGACTTCTTGAAAAGGATCCTTGAGGACCCAGTGCTGTCACTGTGTTAGAGTGGGATGGCCTCAGGTAGGACTGGTTGGCTCTGGGGCAGCGAGTGCCTGAGCCAGCACAGGAGCTGTTCAAGCGGTGCAAGGTCCCAGATGAGCCAAGGCGTAAGTGCTCTGCTCCATTACAGCCTCACTGCGGCTCCCAGGGAAAGAACCTGGACCTGGTGTGGTTCAAGCTGCTCACCTTAGTCTGCTGAAGCCCAAACCCCCAGCCTGAGGACCCTGGTGAAGCTGTGACCATGCCAGCTGCTTCCTCTGGCTCTGCCGAAGGCCTCTGGCTTCCTGTTCGACTGCCTGTAAAAGCATCTTTCTGCCAAGAAAGTGTGAGTAATCTTGCCCAGCTTCTTGGCATTTGTTGGCATAGAGTTAACCTTATGACTCTGATGTAGGTTTCAAGGGACACCCATTAACCCAGGGATCCAGTGCTTCTGGGAATGGGTGAGGCATGGACAGGACATGGTTAGGTTGGTTCAGAGGTAAGGAACTGGTAGGAGGAGACACCTCTGCACCAGGACAGCTTTACTGCTCCCCCTGAGGGTCAGGGGAGAACACGGACCTCCAGATGTGGAATTGGAATGGGGAAGGGGAAAGCCAGAGGCCAGGGCATGGAAGACTGACATGAGGGCCAGGGTTTTCAAAGGTGTTTCTTGAAGTAGAGGGATGTTGAGAGAGATGAGTGGAGGGGGCTCTGGGGGTCAGTAGTGGAAAGAAGGGCACTATGCACTTGCAGGACTGTAATACAATATATAATATACTGTCCAGTACCCACTTGCCCCTACAGGCAATAGAGGGATTCCTGTGTGGGTCTGCAGTGTTGAAAACGTCTATTTATTTTGTCTGCCTCCATGATTAGGAGGCAAATTTAGGGCTTATCTACTTGGGGAAATCCCTGTAAAATAGGCTAGGGTATGAATTTACAGCCTACTTAAAGACCCAGCAGTAGATGCAGTGTAAATTCACACTTCAGCTTACTTCACAGGAACTCCCCCGCAGAAACAAACCCTCAGAGTCACCTCTGTACCTCAGCCTGGTGCTAAAAGTGAGTGGAAGCTTTGCAAAATATGGGCCTGCAGTTCCATTTTTATAGCTGGGTTTTTCTGTCCCCTGGGGCTTTTTGCAGCTGCTGTAAATCACTGTCTCTTTGCTGAGGCTGGAGAAGCTGGGCCACTTTACACTGCTCAGGATCTGACCCTTTGCCTCAAGTAACCTTTTATTATCAATCGGCCAGAGGGTATTTTCCTTTTTGCTGGCTTCATTATTAAGCTTGTTCATTCACTCCCACCACTACTGATGCCTTTTTTTTCTCTTTCTTTTTTTTCTCCCTGTGAATTTTGTGTTGTGTCTTTCCTCCCATGTAATTTCCTAATAGTGAACTAGTGACAGAGTGGGCTGCTGGTATTTCATCTTGTGGCTGGAGAGGTCAGGCTGTTTCTGATACAGACAAACACTCCATTACAGTAAATTCACAGAAAGTTTCCTTTTCAACCTTAAAGGAGAAGGAAATGCACTCTCCACCAATGGGCTTTCAAGAATGACTTCTGTGAGCTGAACTTCTACTAAAGGCCAGTTTGGTCATGTTCTGTGAGCAAGGGGGAAAAAAAAGAGGAAGACGTAATATTTTTTTCTTTCTCTTTTTGCTGAGATTTGGCTTGACTCTTGGCTCCTTATCAGATTAGAGTCCTGCAGGGAAAACAACAACCCTTTGCACTGTGAATTGTTGAAGAAATGGTCATTGCTAATGTCCAACTGAAAGAGCATAAGGATTTAAACCTTTGAAGTTCTCTGCTTCTGGTATTTAGGGACACTTGCTTCTTGGCAGGAAGAACTCACTAATAAGGCAAATACATAGCACAATACATTTCTTGCTGTACTCTAGGGCAAGACTAAAAGGACTGCCCCTGTCTACTTTATGGCAGTTTAATTTAAATTTATTAGACAGCTCCAGGGTATACACAGGAGTCTAATCCTGTAATCCATGGTGGGGCTCTGTGTACCCAGTATTACAGTGTTCCCTGTAAATGGAATAATTTGACATAAAATGTGCTCTCTACTTCTCAGGAGAGAGCAAACTTAACAGAGTATTGTCTTACTGTTCACTACTTGGACTTAGCTGAGTTGCCCTTTATTAGAAAGGCATGAATAAAATTAATCCAAGTGTTGAAGGAACGGGAGCTGCAAGATAATAAATATTTATGTCCCAAACACGACATAGTATCATAAATCAATAATTTTTGAAGAGATTTAATTCTTCTTTCTGCCTAATTACTTGATTTGTGGCGCCAGTTTGCTTAAATTTGTTTCTGTGATAACTTGAGTTATTTTATGCCTCTCCCTTCTACAGAAAATTTGATTTGCTGATTTCCCCTTTAAATGCAGTCAGAAATCCCCTGTTTGCGAAATTAAGAAACCAATAACATGGAATGAAAACATGCATTACATTGCGTTGCCTGAACTCTGTGATTTGCTGATGCTGACACGTGCTGCCAATTACTAAAATACATGTTTTTGTTAAATATATACTGGTTTATTTTCCATACTATCCTGGCATTTTACCTGTATGAAGAAAATAGGTTAAAGAGTAGTTAAAAGTTTGGTTCATTTAAGTGTGGGAGCATATTATCAGTTGAAAAACGTTATTTGAAAGATGACTTTGAGCTTGAAGCTGTTCTATTATTGGAATGAACATGGCAAGGTCAGATGTAGACCAAGTGAAAAGGAAGTCAATGGATGTGTTGGCACACATTTGTGGTGGGTGTAAGTCACGAATGTTGAGTACACTTGATAGTCTTCTCCCATCTTTCATAGACTGATTTTTATTATTTATGAAATACTTGCAGAGAAGGGACTGTGTTCTCCTGCTGCTCTTGGTTTGTAGTTTGCCTGCAGCAAATGCAGCACTTGCTCTAGACAGCCTGGTTAACTTATAAGCGTTGGAAATAGAATCTTCTGAGGAGCAGTACAGGACAAACTGCTGTAAGTAGTGCTTTCAGAGGATTCAGTTCATGTTGCTTGATAGGCATGTTTCAGCTGGTGGCATGTGCTTGGATGTGACTGATCTTTTAAAAGCTGGTTGGTGAGGGATGTTGTCCTAAGCTTGGGGAGCCCAGTGGAGCAGTCAGTGCCTGGCTGCCTGACACTGTGTGCTGACTCAAACAGAAACCCTTTTTCTTTCCAGATGTAGGTGACATAGTCACTGTAGACATTTGCTCTCCTGCCTCAGCCACAGGGTAGGTACAAGCCCAGCCAGGTCGGTATCTCACTGCCATTGCAGACAGACTCTGTGCCAAATCTATGTGTAAAGACATCTCAGTTACTCTGGTCAACATTCCCATGTGAAAAGAATGGGTAGGATATTTCAGAGGGATAACAATCCACAAGTCAGTGATCAACGAAGCGTTAAATGAAGAATGATGTGTGCCACTCGCAGTCTTCACACCTACAAGGAATCTTTTCAGAGCCTGACTGTGTCGTATTTCATCGAGATACCTGCTGAATGTGTTCAGAATGTAAATGCACAAAATCCCATTCCCCTCAGGAGATAAAGGGCTGTGTGACACCAAACAGCTGAGTGTTTCAGAGCCAATGGACCTTGATCCAGTCCCTGGGCCTGCTCCAATGGATCTTGAACTGCCCTCTCATGGGCATGGCAGAACCCCCACTGCAGAACAGGCAGCCAGGACCACTGGAGCACAAGGTCTGTGTGTGCAAATCTTGTCCCTCCGTGTGATGTAGTGGATCCCTTGGGTCATTTTTGCTTCCTGGCAATGCAGCTATTGCTGAGAGAAGCCTGGCAGCCTGCCCTGCCTGGTGTGCCCCCGCAAAAGCTTTGAAACCAGCAGGAGGGTCTAGCTGCTTTCCCACTGCCAGGGCCTTGCTCTTCCCTGCCACTTCCCCAGCTGTGCAGCTTGGGCCCAAGCAGACCCTCTGCAGAAGGGTTAAAAGTACTGCAGAAGCCAAGCCAAGGATATAAATCAAAGCTGTGTTGAAAGCATGGGGTTACAGGTGTTTGTCTGGACAGAAAGTTTCGTGCAAGATACCAGGATCATGCACAAGGAATCTCATGACCTGATTTCTAAGCTGTTGGGTCAATAGTTTCTTTTCTTCTCTGACTGAAAACATAGGCAGCATGTGAATTGGCAGTGGCCTTTCTGTTGGACAGATGTGTGATACGCATCGGCACACAGGTAGGCTGTGGCACACTTGGGTCTCATGTGGAATAGCTGGTGACTTCTAAGGGAATTACCTTCTGTTTTATTGTCATTGATATTAGTGGGTTTGGATTACTGCTTTCATGATAGTTTTATAGGTTATTGTGACAAGAAGCCATGGTCTGAGCTCCTTTTTCGTTTGCCTTGACCATTATACACATTCAAAAGAAAAGGCCATTCAGGTAGGATACATCTTATCCTCCTTGAGCTGCCTGAAGGCCAGGACTCTAGTAAATGTGTATGGGTGCTCTCTGTTTCTCCCTCATCACTGAAGGTAGCCAGAGTGATTCATTAGGGATGTATGAGAGTGAATCATCCAGCAGCACTGTCTGTCTCTGCTGGTGGTGGAGAGCGCCAAGCCTAGGCATTAACTCAAGGCTAAAGGGGCATGCTTTTCTTGCTCAGAGCCAAGGAAGTGTGAGTTTAATTTCCAATTCACAGTATTTAGGTGCAAACGAGCATAAAAAGAGTCTGGAGTGCTGCATGTCTGCAAAGGCATCTGTTGCCCACAGAGAGATCAATGTGCTGCAGATGCTTGAGCATTCTGCATATGCCCAGAGCTCCTCTTTGCCATGTCTTCAGTGAGCATCTCCTGCATGATGAGACACAGAGAGGCTCCCTTTTGCTGAATCTGCAGGGGCAGCTGTGACTTCTGCCAGGATGTACATAGACAGCTAGGTTGGACATAACAAGGAATCACAGAATCATTAGGGTTGGAAGGGGCCTCTGGAGATCATCCAGTCCAACCTCCCTGCCAAGGCAGGGTCACCCAGCACAGGTGACACAGGAACACATCCAGGTGGCTTTGGAATATCTCCAGAGGGAGACTGCACCTCCTCCCTGGGCAGCCTGTTCCAGTGCTCTGCCACTGTATCTTAAGGGCTAGTAGAAGCTGCTAGTAGAGTTCATCTATCAGAAACCTCACTCCTGGTTTCCTCATGCCAGCAGCATATCCAGGTCAGTTAGAGGCTGGAGAAGATAAAAGTGTACTGGACTGAAGGTTTGTACCCCTTCCTGTGGGACACATCAGCACCTCTTAGGTTAGTGTTGCTTCACTCATACCAGGCAAAGCAAGGGCTACCTCAGAGTTAGAGACCTTTTATGATGTTAAGCATGGTGCCAACAGGCATTTGTTTTAAATGAGCGCTGGAACATAATTAAAATGGTATCTTTACAGTTTCTGGAAGATCTCTCTCTGGGAGAAGGAGGGCTGCTGTGAGTCTTATTTCACTGTGATCAAGTTATTCCTCCCAGACAGTGTGAAAGACAAATTGGGGAGTTTTGGATACCATCTCTTGAAGAGAATGAATCTGGATTCAATGCAGCTGGCTGCAGAAAGGTGAGACCTAGCAACAACTGCAGGGCACAGTTGCTATTCCTGTTGTCCCCCTTCATCTTCTTTTTATACATATATAAATATGGTCTTAGATTATCTGATTTTTCTAGCTCAGGCATGCTTTACTTATGGTGTTGGCATTCAAATCCAAGACTACTTATGGAGATAATCTGAATTACTTCATAATTATGAGAAATCCTGGGGAGGCTTCTCAGTGTTTACAGAGGAGCATCTTGCTGTACCACAGTCTAGATATGTCAACACAGCCAAATCTCGTTTTAGTGTGTTATAGTTTAATTAGCTCCACATCTTGAGTCATAATCTGCTTCTCTGGGGCTGAAGCGCACACACACACACACACAAAAGACAAAATGCAAAATGTAAAGAAGTACTTGTGGTCTTTGCCACTTGGATTTGGTACCATCTGTTAACATGGCTTCTCCTAAAGTCAGTTTCTAGTTTGTTGAATTGGAGTTTCATCTCATGGATAACATTTCCCATCATTGTGAAGCTGTCAGCTGTAGCTCTCCTGAGAAAACCACCCTACTAGTCTGAGATCTGGGGCATAATTGTCTCCTGCTCAAAACCGTCTTGCTTCCAGAAAGCAGCAGCACTGTTTGCTGTAGCTGAAGATCTACCCCATAAAGTCTTTAAAGGGCAAATTCTAATCGGGCGGTGAAGCAAAATGTCATTCCAGAGGACCAATTGCCATGCAAACCTTGGCAGAATTTCCCCAGATGTGCTAGATGCATCTGGACTTCCCAAACCAGAGATCGATCTTTGGCTTCTCTAGAATATTACTTTACTATTAACTTTGTCTGTTTACTCCTCTGTCAGAAGGGCTGCTATTTCTGATTTTGCATCCTCTTTTTCACTACCCCTGTCTTTCAAAGACAAGGTGTTGGAGGGATTTCAAGAGCTGAAATATAGAATGGCCAGCCTGTGCCTTGGAGATGTGTGTAGCAGTTGAGTGTTTCAAGCGTGTCTCTCACATTGGAACATCACACACAGAGGTCTCTGTGCTCACCAGGGGGTTTGGTTGTCTGCTCTGCTCTGAGGTCAAAGTGATAGATTGCTACACCAGCATCTCTGTGGTGTGGGGATATAGGGTCTGGTCAGCCTCTCCTGCCTACCAGTTCCTCCTGGACTTCCCCCACCTCTCAGCTCACTGAGATCAGTGGTACATATCTCATTGATCTCAGCAGTGTGAAGTCTTTGGCGTGTGGTTTGTTAACCTGGCTACTCCAGGGCAGTCTGCCTCTCTGTTGTGGTGGTATTCCTGGGTCTGTTCTTCCAGTCCTCCACTTTGAACCCTCCTGATGCTCCACCATCAACTTTTTGGGAGATTTTCCTTGTGTGTGCGCTTTTCCACATGGTTACCACTTCTCATGCTTTTCTTATTATTTTCACTGGTGTGCAGAGCCATGGCACCATATATGACAACTCTTTCCTCTGTCACTGTCATTGCTAAGCAGCAGTCACATCTCATTCATCTTGCCCTTATAAACTGCAGAGACTAATGGCATCAGGTTGTGTGTCCTCCTCCTGTGCAGAATTTTATGGTCCTGTTTTTTCTTGGTTGTGTTGACCAAGCAAGGACAGAGGGAGCATGAAGCACTTAAATGAGATCAAAGTCTCTCTTGAAACCTGCACAGAGGGTACCCACCATTCTCCTAGAACAGGAACAGAAAAAAGCAGCTTGTGTCACTCTGTGTAACGATCATTAAAATAAGAATGGGAAATAGTACACTTCCCTCATGTCTTTTTGCAGTTCAGGAGTAGATGAATGACAATTTTGGTTCCTTGTCCTCAGATCGAGGAGTGGATGACTAATGTCATTGTGACTGGTGCCATCTAATTGGTTCAAAAGAATTTTCTGGTTGTTCTCATGATTAGCATCACTTCCCATCATGTGCCAACCATTGGAGTGCAAAGACCTCCTTTTGAACTGTCATATTATGAAGAAGATGTAAAAGTACTGGGTTTATGAAGCAATTCAATGTATATAAAGTATGTATGAATCAGTATTCTGATCTTCTTGTGCAGCAAGTCATGATGACTGATCTATTTCTACAGTTGCTAATTATATTATGTTAAGAAATACTTGGTGTTGAAGTGACTTTTATGCAAAAATTCTGTGAAGTTGAAATTTAAGAAGGACTCACCAGGAAGGTATAACTGAAATATTTTGCTTTGAGTCAGTTTGATCCATTTCAAAACAGTTTGTTGTGTTGCTGTGGGTTACTTAATGTTGAGTCTGAGCCATGTGTGTGAACTGCTCTGGTATTTTTGGGACTGGTAGCATTGTATCTTGATTATTTCTTACAGCAACCTCTGCATTATCTAACCAAGGGTGTGTTGCAGTCTCCCTTCTTACCTACTGTAGTGCTGGATCACGGGGAAAAAGGGACAGAGACTCTCAGTCTGGACAGATGAGACAAACTGATGTCAAACTGGGTCAAACCAAAATATTTTGCTTTGGTTCAACTCATTGAAATGAAGTGTTTCAATTCAGGAATACCAAACCACTTCATTTTTTAATTAAAAGGAAATAACGTGTTTGGCACTTGCTATTGTCAGATTTATGAAGGCAGGGGTGTGAATTTCTCTTAGATGATGAAGAAACAGGACTCCACCATAGTGCACCACACACCAGCCTAGGGAGAAAAGGGCTTTTATGCTCAGTTTGAAAGGCAGAAGTTACCAGTTCAAAGGAGAGAATATTACAGTAGCACCTTTGGAAGGTTAAGAGGGCAATGTCAATACAAACATGAGAAGAGAACCTGACATTGTAGCATAGACTCAAATTAAATACTTAATAGGCATGTTAGAAATTTGCTGGGATCAGTGACAGGATTGAAGCATTCATACAGCTCACTCTGTAAGGACAGGAGAGATGGAGCAGCATTATCCATGCTTCTCCTGAAGCTGTGGACTGATGAAGGACAGACTTGGCTGGGTGGAGTTAGAAAGAGAGAAAGAGCAGAGCCTATTTGACAGGTGGGTTTAATTTAAGCCACCTGCCTGGGACGAGTGGAAAGGTGCTTTTGATTGACTCTTGGAAGCACTTTTTAGCCAAATGTCAGTGGCAATGGACACTTCATGTGGATATTGCACGTAAAGGCAACATGGCAGAAAAAAAATCAATGTATCACCATCTTGGAATATGTTGAGGCAATTCTGTTTCACAGGGTGAAAGTTATGGGGAGCTATTTTAGCTGAGCTTTAGCGAGGAGGACTTACCTGTGCACAGAATCGCAAGCTGGTTTGGGTTGGAAGGGACCTGTAAAGGCCACCTAGTCCAACCACCCCTGCAGTGAGCAGGGACATCTTCAACTAGGAAAGGCTGCTCAGGGCCCTGTCCATCCTTACATTGACTGTGTCCAGGGATGGGGCATCCACCACCTTGGGGAGCCCGTGCCAGTGTTTCACTGCCTTCATTGTAAAAAACGGCTTCCTTACATCTACTCTAATTCTGACTTCTTTTAGTTTAAAAACATCACCCCGTCCTATCCTACGGACCCTACTAAAAAATTTGTCTCTGTTTTTTTTGTTTCTCTGTTTGTTTGTTTTTTACAAGCCCCCTTCAAGTATTCCAAAGAAAGAATGGTTAATGAAGTTGGAAATATGAATCCACGTAAGAAAGGGGTTTGGATTCCTGGACAGACTGTCAGTTTGTACAGACCTGAATTGTAAAATTATTTTAAAACATTAAAATTGCCAAGAGTAGCTAATGTTTAACTAATGTAATTTCTCAGTTTATAGGGCAACTAATATGCAGTAGATATCAGACAGATATTAATTTAATCTTGATCTTGGCTTTCAGCATCATTCTTCGTTATGTTCTCTGACTGGGTTACCATTCAAAATCTGAGTGATAAAACTGGGTAATTTGACCCAGTCAGAGTTGTCTGGTTGGACAAATACGTTGATGAAGTGATAAGGTGAGGAGACACAGCTCAAATGTTCTAATTACACGAGTAGTAAAACCATGGCACAGATAACTTAGGGAGAAAGTGGAATATTCTTGACTGAATTTTTGCAAGAACGAGTGTGGCAAATGTTTTTCAGAGACGGTCTAAATTATTTATTCTGCTTTACAGCAAGGGAGGAGATTAAATAATCCCTCCAGATCACCTCTAGGCGTGGATTTTTAATGTTCTATTAAGTGGGCACTTTAGGGTCTTTTAAGATCACCGATTCTCAGGTGGAGTCAGGACAGGGAAAGACAAGGTACTATGGAAATTTTCCTCAGGGCAGGTGTTCATACAAGTACAGTTTTTGTGTTTTCCTGAAAAGAATTATTCTTTACCTGCTCTGCAGAACCTAAGACAAGAATGCCCAACTTCCCAGGTTGAAATACTGCACATCAGACCAGCAGAAGCATTCCTAGAGGCTACAGCAGTTTATCTGAAAATGTTAAAATGTTTTTGCATAAGCCTGATTTTATTAAAGAGTTGTGCTCCAATGATGAGGAACAAAGGAAGGGCATGTGATAGAAATGTGCCATGTAAACAACTCAGATTGCTCCTAGCAATTGCATGGTTCTAATTGGGTAACAGATCATGAACTGTATTTGTGAAGATTATTCAGCAGTTTCAAAAACCAAAAATATTTAAGAAAACCGTGCCTTTCTGGAGGCATCTGGCAAACAGATAAAGAACCAAAGTTCATTAATGGGTGAGTCATTGCTTCTGTGTCCTTGCCTGAGATACCCACACAAAACTCTTACTGGCTTCAGCAGGTGATGTGGTCAGCCTGAAGGAGAGCATGGCCTCTTGGCCATGTGTTTAATGCCAGGCTCTGGCCTGATTTCAGTCTCACATTGCCTAAAATCACCAACAAATCAATCAGAGAGGAAAGATTGCCTCAACCAAGGTCCTTCAGCACTCTTCTTTCTCCCCTTCCTCTTCTCATCCTGCTCATTGCATCTTCTCCTCCTCTTATGCCCAGGGTCTTGCTGGTCCTTTTTCAGGGTGGTGACCACGTGGCCAGTCTCTCTGCAAAGCCCTGACTTGTGGGTGATAGCCACAGAACTTCTTGCCTTTGCTTGGCCATCACTGCTTTCTTCCAGAGTACCTTGCCCTTGCTACAGGGATGGTTGTTGCTCGTGAAGCAGGGGCTGATTTGCAAATTAAAATCTTACAGTAATTCTATGTACTTTTATGCAGAATTACAGAAGTACTGATTTAATTGACTCCATGGATTTGCAACCAGCAGTTCAGCAGCTGCTTCATGAGCCATCCTTGCAGGAGGGGAACGTCAGAGGGATGGGTGAGTTGGATGCTGAGAAGTGGGAATTGATCTAGTCATCCCAAGAGAAATCATCTCCATTTGTGAGTCAAAGCCTGCCGTCTCTTGCCTGAGATGAAGGGAATCTCCCAAGGGCAACTTATCTTGCACGATCTCATCACTTGAGATCAAACATCACGATATGGGGTCAATAGACAGTTCTAAAAGTGCACTGCAAACCTCCGTTCAAATTCACATACAGCTCTAGCCAAAACACAACCCAAATCATGATCCAAATAACCTCCTCCTCAGCCCACCTTCATCGCTGTTCTGCTTCAGTGGCAGATGCAGCACAGAAAAGATGCCTGAATGCTTAATTCAGAAATTTACTGTTTAAGGCATTACTTGTATGAACACCAGCGTAACACATAGAATACCAATGCCCTAAATTTAGTAGTTTTGTCTGAGTCATTTTCACTATGTGGGAGGGCTGTGAAGACACTCCACAGAGTGGAGAAACTTGTTGGTGGTATCTGTCCAATGAGATTATTTTTTTTTAAAAGTCAGAACACAGCAGAACTACAGATATGTTTGTGAGTAAAATGCAGTTTTGTTGCAGACTTCAGCACAGGAGTGGGGGGGGTGTTGCTCTCCACCCACTTCAAAAGCTGAAGTCGGGTTTGATTGATACGTATCTCTGACACTGAAATAGGTACAGAATTTTTCATGACAGCAACACACAGACACAGGTAAACACTCTGGCTGCGTGACTGGGAGGGATATGGTGTGGTGTAATCCCCAGATTTGTCTGTGCAGTTACATCTTATTTTCAGATCTCCTAGCAATGGCAGCTGAGTTGATACAATCCTACATGTTACCAACCAGCAGGGAAAAGTTATTCCTGGACTTACTCACTGAGGGATGAAATGTCCCACTGAAGAGCAGGTGACTTTTGCTGCATAAGTCATTCAGTAGGGCTAGAGATACATGCACAGGCTTTGAAATAGATGTGGGTGCAAGTAATTAGGTGTGGATGTGAAGGAGGCATTTAGACTTGGTGTTCTGAGCTGGTAACACCTTTCTGCCAGTCTGGATTTTATCCTTGCTCCATTACCCTTTCTGCATGAATGCAGCTGATTTCAAGTTGATATGAATTTAGAAATTTCGTTTTAGAGATTCCTTCTGGGACCCTGTGGAACAAAACTGCTCCTCTCCTCAAATAAAAACCTAACTTCAGAGCCTTATTTTAGCCAGAATCGGTCATGTTTTTATTCTGCATAAAAGTTAGTTCTAGCTCGACTCCTGCACTCTGGGTTTGGAGCGGACTCTTCCTCGGGCAGAGGTGAAGGGTGTTTTCATGCACTGTATCCTGTCTGATATCAGCCATGGCAGATATGTAAACATACTTGGGCTTGACCCCATGAACCTGATTCTCATGAGTGGTGCCACAGAGTTCAGGGCTCTGCTCACACACACCAGAGGATTGACTGTAATGTGTTTAATGCCAATGAAATGAACTCTGTTCCTAGAGAAACTCCAGTAAAATCAAAGGCTTGTTAATAGAAAAAGTAGTTAGCTGTTATCCTAAACAGAGCAAAATGCCAAACAAAATCCTGCTCTGCTATTTGTTCTCATGCTGGCATTTAGCTGCCAGGAAGCACCAGTCTTATAAACATGAAATTATATCCATGGTAACATGCAAGACTTGTTTAACTTTGAAGCATGTTAAAAGGTACATTAAAAAAATTTTCTATTTTACTGTTGAAAATAGCACTTATGACTTCTAACTCAGCCTGAGAGCTGTTGACTGGTGAAGGTAAGGGCCAGAGGCACAGCTCCTTCCTCAGAGCACTTGTTGTTGCTAGACATTCCCAGAAGGTATTATTGCTTAAATACAGCTTGTGTTTTCTTTACCCAGATTTCTTTAACTGGGAAGATATGACAGGTTGTGATATTGGACTGCAGTGAAGCTCCACCTGTGCTGTTCTACCCTTCATGAGTGAGCAGTGCTGGGCAGTGCAGCAGGCATGCTCCTGCCCTTTTCAGGTAAGTACTGGATTCGAGGATCCTGCTTTGTGATATGGCATCCTGGGATTATAAGCACTCTGCTCAGGAGCTTCTTAGTGACTCCTGCATCATGCTAGAAAGCAGACATTGCTCACAGAGCGGGAGAGCAGCTGGAGCAGGGCGTAGACTGAATTAGTGTCTGGGCTGGAAAATGTATTGGGAAAAGTAGCAGAAAGATCCCAACTTTGAGCAAAAGCTGAAGCTGAAAACTGCAGATGGTTTTCTTGTCTGTACGATAATGTCAAACCCAAAAAAAGGGAGTTTTCACACACTGTTGTCTGTTTAGCGCAAAGTGAAAATTATGTACTGGAAAATGGAGCCCCATGTCTGGAGAAAACAGCTCTGGCTGTACCTATACAATCCCATACAGGGCTCTGTGGAAGCTGGGCTTGGCTGCTTTGAGGAGGTCTCTGAAGTCTTGAGCTCTGTTTGTTGTGGAGTGAAGGGAGGGAAAAAGACCAATGGGATGTGCCCTCAGTAGCTTTTATCTATTAGCACCTGCATGATAATGCCACTTGAAATGAATTGTGCCAGGAGCCACTTCTAAAAACTAGAAATTCCATCTGTAAGGGCAGCAGAACAGCCTGTGCTGGTTGTGAGGGCAGTGCCAGAGGTCACAATGGTTACAGGTGGATTCCACAAAGCATGTGGAAAAGGACAGAAGAACAGGGTGTTCTGGTAGCTACTCTGTGTCCCTTGAAGCAAGGGGCTGGTGGATGCAGTAGCCTGGGTGTGTCTGGCTCTGAAAAGACAGCAACATCTTTGAAGAATACACATATATTTGCTGTCTTCTCTTAGCTGTTCTTCAGGGTTCTGCTTTTTTGTGTAGAAATTTAACAACACATGTGCTGGCATGAACCTGTCTTAAAAGAAAAGTAGCAGCACAACCTGTCCCCTTTCTTGGGTAAATCCCTTTTTTTTTAGGAGAGACTCAGACCTATCTCTAGCTGGAGAAGGAGGCTGAGCTGTGCCTTTTCCACTTTTGTAAAGTGGACACAGACCACGTGTTCCAGAAGGGTGAATGATTTGACACTGTGCCTCAGTTACTGGGCGTCTTGTGTTCAGCCCGGGGAGAAGGGAGTGTCTGAGATGCCTTGCCACTAAGTTGTTGGATGCTGGTGCAAGGGGAGAGAGCTGAAGCATCAGGGAGTACCAGAGTAGCATCCTGAGGGCCTGAATCCACAGTAACTTTTTACATGCGACTTCAGTGAGAGTCGTCTGTTCCATATCTTTTAAATACTTTATCTTCAGGTGCCTAGGATGAGAGCCTAGGAGCCTGAAGTACCTAATTTTGGAAAGAAAATGACTTTTTTGTGGGAAGTTTCCTTAAGGGACTTTAATGGTCATTGTGTAATGAACTTTGGATTCTGCCTTGGGTGGTGGTGTCCCTCATGGGCTATGCACAGATCAGCCTGCAGAGCTGTCAGTACAAGGCATATTGCTGTGTCAGCCCTGTAGGTGCTCTGGTCTTTGCTCTGGATCTTAAATCTAGTCACGCAATTCTTCTCCTCTTGCAGGATGATGGTATCTCTAGCCCTGTCTGCTGGGTTCTTCCTGCTTTCGTGCTGAAGAGCTGTGTGGGAGAAGGTGGCCAGGCATATAGTGTTGTAACAACCTTCTACTGATGGAGGCGCAATGCTGGTGTGTGCTGGCAACACACCCAGCAGTGGATGCAGGTATTTCAGCAAAACTGTGCCATCTACTCCTGAATCTAGTGGGAGCAGGAGAGAAACAATATTTGCAGAAGTCTGGGTTGGAGGGCAGTGGTGTGTGTGTAACAGCTGAAACGGGGTGCAATGCTAGCCATGGGTTTTAACCTTCACATTCCAGTGCACACAACCAGTTGTGTGCATCTAGCTGGGATGTCTCCTGCTGCTGTCATTTCTGCTGGGGAAAGCCTCATTTAAAAGGTCCTTGAGCACTGGCCAGGAGAACTGTGGCACCCAGGGGGACATGCTGGGACTCAAGAGACTCCATTAACTCAAGGACTTCCCCTAACCTTAGCAGACCTCAGGGCAGACGTCCAGCACTTGGATCCTGACCTCAGACCAAATGCCTCTGTCAGGTATCTCTGAGGGGAATTTAATTGAATTTTCCTCATTTCGTCATTAAGTGCCCACTGGTGGGTTCTTCTGTTGAAGAGACAACAGGACCCACTGAAAGGCTATTTTTCCATGAGGGTAACTTACTGGTGACAGCTTTGGTGGGTGGCTACTGAACCAAGAGTGTCAAAGCCAACATCTAAAATGACCTTTAGGCTGTTTACTCAGAGCAGTAACAGACTCGCCCCCGACTTCCTGATAAGGCCATCACTTATCAAGAAGTAAGAAGAGCAAGTGGCTAGATATGGAAATCATTGTGGGAGTGAGCCTAATTAAAAACATACAGCATCGTACAGAGGCAATATTACTACACCGGTAACCTTTGCCTCTTCTGTGGAATATGTATACAGAAAACAGGACAATTACCAGGAATTGGGAAAAAAAGAAATATCTATTCAAAGTCAATTCCAAAACAAATGGAAAGCCTTCTCTTAGACAGACAGACGTGTATAATTTAATTCAAGTGTCTCCTCATGACCCATGATTCTTTTTCCTAGCTATGCAATAAAGTATCAGAAGTCAATGATTTTCATCTCACTTAGGTGAAACTTTTTAGAAGAGCAGTCTAAAGTAAGCCAAGAGATTAAGTAGACACTAAAAAAATTCAGTAAGATCTTAATTTAAAAGCTGGATATGCAGAAAGCTAAGTATCAAATAGAAGCCAGTGAGTCTGGTTTTCACTCTGAATTAGAAAATTAGGTTCTTACTTTAAAAAAAGTTTCTCCATAATCATAAGACAAATATATACTTTAATACTTGCCTTGAGAAGTGCTTGGGTTTTTAATGGATTCATCTCAATAAGCTATGTTGTAGCATTTCACCATCTCAAACTAAACTTGTTTTTTTTTTGCTGATGTTCACCTGGCTTTGTTCAAGAGGTTGTTTTTTCTTTCAATTAATCTTTCTGTTTATTTGAGTCAAAACAGCAGCACCTTCTAATCCCACTTTTGTATTTGCTAGAGAATGTCTAGACTGGCTAGCGTGAGGGTTTTCATCCTGGAAGGTTTTAGTAAGATCCTTCTCCACTTGCTATAGACGTCACACAAGCACCGAAACTGAAAGTTTCAGATGCGATACAACACCTAGCAATAAACTGTTTCGCCTTTTTTTTTTTTTTTTTTTTTTTAAAGGGAAAGAAATACCGTCTTTTGGCAGGGTTTCCTCTCAAACCTCAGAGACTTGCTGATCTGTCGCGTAGATCTGTACTGTGGTTGCAAAATATCAAAACAGAACTAAGGATTTTTATATCTACTCTTCCCACCCAGCACTCACAGCTCCTTCCCCCTTCCCTGTCTGTCGGGTAGTTTCTGAAGGCGTTGAGGAGATGGGAAGGGAAGGGACACAGAACTGACCGTTGGACAGATAAATGGACAGCAGTGCCAACAACTGAGGCCCATTTCTTTAGGAATACAGCCTGAAAGTGCCTTGCTAATTAGAATGGATGATGAATATTTTATTTCTTGAGGAAAACTACAGTTTTTTTGAGGAGAGGTGGGGGAAAGCGAGGTAGAAGCAACTGGTTTCCATGTCGGATTAAGGAATTGCAAGTCTTCCGGGCAAATGGTCCATTCTCTTCCTTAAACTCTGGACTTTTTTAATGTGAATGATGGTTTTCTGTTGTCATGTGCTGTTGTGATACATTGTGGGAATATTTGGCAATGATGCATGTTGGACATGGAGTCCAGTTGCAGCTATTGGTCCATGAAGGATAATGACATCCAAACCATAACTCCAGTTAAGTCACTGAGATATTCTATTACTTATCAAATTTTGGAATTTTCTTTGCAATTTTCTATGCAAAGCAGGCACTTGGAGTGGAAAAGGTCATTTTGATAAAAATCCAACTTTTCACTAAAATCAGTTCTCTTCTGCACCCTGTCCCAAAATCTGTTATGTTAACAGTGTTCCAGAACAGCTTTGCCATCTGTCAGAAGCAGTTTTAGGTAACAAATTATTCAACCTAACTGTGCCCTATCTTTGCCACACCAGCTGTGTGTGTCTTTGAACTTCCTTGGGATAGATAATCCCGAGGCTCCCCAAAGCTGGCAGGAATCCCAAGACACTGAGGGGGAACCCCTAGAGCCAGGAAACAGAAATGTCCTGAGGACATGGGTGTTTCTGAAGTACCAAGCCCCCTCCTGAGGAGAGATATCTTCACCTACTACTGCAGAAAGCTAGTGTGTTCCAGCACGGAGGTAGTGCTGTTCCAGAAAGGAGCGTATGTCTTGCTCTCCCTTTAAAATGGATCCTCCTTTGCATATTGGGTATGCTGGTAGGAGGTGGGAGGTCACACTCAGACTCTTCCTGACAAGATCCAAATTCATATTATCCACCCCCACTTACTGCCTAAAACATGTGAAAAGTGCTCAGATAAGGGATTCTCTTTCAGCCATGTGTCCTAATCACTGGGCTGAAGATTCAGCCCTCTTAGCATCAAAGCCTGAATTTTTGTTGCATGATTTCAGCAGGGGAGTCCCCTATCCAAAACACTGTGGTTAAGGCATTTTTTGAGGCAGTGAGAGACAAAGGTTTGGACTGATGAATACATATCTTATGCTTCCTTTCAAGAGCATGCTAATTACAAGAGTGTGATATGAGAAGCAGACAGTGTTGCCACTACAGAATTGGTTACTCAGCCTGGGTTTTAAAAGCAAGTGGCCCCAGCCAGGTTTGAGAGGCCAGGCAGCGCTGGGTCAGTGTGCTCGCAGCTGTGCTGCCTTGAGTGTGGCCTTTCTGGGGCTGGGCTTTAGTCTGAAAGGGATTTCAGTCAAGCCTCTGAGCCTGGGGAATATCTTGGGAATATGGGAGGCAGTCAGAGGGCAGGGGCATACCCAGCTCTGGGGAGGGCAGAGGGAAAGCCTTTTATGTCCGCAGTTTAGGGCTTAATTTTCTCCAGAAGCTGATTTGTAAATGCAGCATGTCACTATGAGAGTTGTTGAATATTTTGTCCTAAGACCACTAATGAATTTGATAGCCACCACATTCACCAGTTGGTGCAAGAGATTTACCCATCATTTCTAAATTTAAGTGAATGAGACTTAAATGTGGTTAAAGTTTGGGGGGGGGTGGTGTTTAAGTCTCTTGCTGGACTGGGACTTTTAAAAGTGTTATTTTGTCTCCTCAAGTCTCCTTCAAGATAAGGTTTTCTTGTATTCTGAAATGATGTGGCAGAAGGCAAAAAATAATCTTGTGACTCATTAGGAAATAAACAGAGGCATAATTGCCATCTGTGTTGCAGTCCATTTAATCTTTTCTCTCTCCAGTCATGGAAAAAAGTTCATAAAAAAAGTTGAGGTCTGCTTTTGTGATATTTTTGAGAGAAGCTAGCTTAAAAAAAATTACAGAAAAGACAGGCAAAAAAAAAAAAATCCCCAATACTGGCTCTATACATTATCTTAGACAAAATGGATTAAATTTCTGACACCCTACTCATCAAATTCTGACCTTGATTTGACCCCATTGGCTTTTTACTGTTTGATGTTCTCAAACGATTTGGTGCCACTTTTCCTTAGTAGTGCAGTTAATTTTGAGTGTTAGATAGAGATCAATAGTCATAGCTTGAAATTGGCACCTTTGGACGAAAAATATGTTGTGTGGCAGTAACATAGATTTGATAGTACTTCAGTTAAGAAAATGGTGTACTCTTTCATTATTGTTTTCAATGACAGTATCCAGAGTGTTACTTCATTCTCCTAGCAAGCTTCTGACAGTCTCTAGTAATATCTTATCTATCAAAGAGTTTTCATTCCTCTCCTTTCATGCTTGACTTCTGGAGTGGAACTTTATTTAAAAGGTCCCTGAAATTAGAAAGAATGACCATGGCACTTCTGCTATCAAGCTGCTCAGTAAGAAATAAACCACCTTACTTCTAGACTTGTGTCTGGCCTCCTGCTTGCCCACATTGAAATCTCATTGACTGTGCTGGCCGTATGGGGGAAGCTTGGCTGTCAGGAGGAAATAAGTGGCCTGTTGGATAAGATCTAGTCTTCTCATAGGTAGCTGGTTTGCATACTGGCATTAAAAGAAAGGGTGGGAATGCCATTCCTGCTTTTGTCCATATGAAAGTTCCCTGTGCCTTGCTTTTAGCCCATTGCTGCAGTGAGAGGTGGGCCTCCATTTGAAGAGGGTGTTTATTCCTTGGAGTAGCTGCCTCTGGAGTATCCAGCTGCTCTGGAGTACTGGCTTGGGGCTCAGGCAGTCTCTAGGGCACAGATTTGCCAGGACTCTGCTCCTTTCTGTGGAGTAACACTCCAGAGCACCTGGTACTGTGGAGGTGTAATGAAGCTCTTCTTCAGGCTTCCATCAGTGCAGGTGCTGAACATTTGGGGAGTTTCAGCATGCCAATAAAATCTGGCCTCCGGTGTGCCCTTCCTCCAGTGCAACTTTGGAAGTCCTGACTAGTGTAATCCAAATTTGACAAGCGGTTGGAAATGTCTTTTTGACCAAATTCAGTTGAATTATATACATGGAGATGGGGAAGAAAATGCAGATAGGCCCAGGAGAGGAGAGGCTGTGGAGAGCAGCAGTGGGGAAAGAGATGTCATGACAGTCTTGGGTACAAAGAAATGTCAGCC